GTGTGTGTGTGTGTGTGTGTGTATGAGTGAGTGAGCGTGTGTGTGTGTTGTGTGTGTATGTGTGTGAGTGAGTGAGTGAGCGTGTGTATGTATGTATGTGTGTGAGTGAGTGAGTGAGTGAGCGTGTGTGTGTTGTGTGTGTGTGTGTTGTGTGAGTTAGTGAGTGAGCGTGTGTATGTGAGTGAGCGTGTGTATGTGAGTGAGCGTGTGTGTCAAACACTCACTTGGCATAATAAACCCATCCGTCTTTAGTGGACCTCTCTTCCCAGCCGGGAGGAAGCTCGTCTTCACTGTCTGTATCATCCATTCCGGCGTATTTAAGAGCTGCCATCGCGGACTGACTGGTTTCAAGTCAAACTCATTCAACTCCTCAGTGAAATTGATTTGCTTTACAGCAGATTCACGCTGCAATAATCCTGCCGGACCACTTCCGCAATCATGACGTGCCGTATGACGCGGTTCTGAAATGGGCGGGGCTTAGCGGCCTGGTCAGGTGCGACGGGTCCGAATTAATACTTTTCTATTTTTTCTTGTAATGTAAGTTTTTTTGTGTTATGTGTCAGCACAGCAGCTCATATTTCTCATGTTTTTATTATTCATCTCTGCAAAAGAAAATTAAGAAAATATATTTATGCTTTTTCTATATTTTTTTCCATACCATATACACCAATGGGGGGGGGGGGATAAAAAACTTAAATGCCTAAATATTCACCTCTCCTAAAATCTCAAATCTACTCAACATGTGTGGCCTTTTAGACATATATATTAGTATTCTTTGATAGATTTTGATCTGTGTGTCAACGGTCTTCAGTGAAACAGAGAGGATGCTGTCACGTGGTACCTGTTACTCTTTTCAGCGCTGATCAGAATAGACCAATCAGGATTCCGAGCCCTTTTCAACGGCTGTCAGGACTGTTTTTTTTTGTTTGTTTGTTTTTAATTAGTAGATTTAAACAAAAACTTAACTTGCAAATGTTAGTAAGACAAAGGCCGTTCTGATATTTGAAAAGTGTCAATAAAGGATTTTTTGATTCAAACAAGCCTTCGAGTTGCACCTTATGGTCAGTGTTGCCAATTCAGCTATTTTGTTGCTAAATTTAGCAACTTTTCAGACTACCCTAGCAACTTTTTCTTCCAAAAGCACCTAGCAACAAATTTAGATTTTTTTTTTTTGGCAGCTTTTAGCAACTTTTGATAAGTGACTCAAACCATAAAAAGGCCCAATTTACCATTTACAGTACACAAAAAGAGGAATCCAAAGATGCCTTGCAGTGCACGCGTTACAGGAATTAAGTTAGCTGCTATTTGCAATTGTTTAATTTAATAGTAATAATAATTGAATACAGTTATTTTTCATTTATAAGACACTTAGTAGCTTGTACCTGCGACTGTTGATGAGTTAGTACACTGTAAGAAAAATATGCAGAAAAATGGAAAAGGTGCTAGTAATTTTCCAGGACATTATCTGTTATCCGTTGTAACCCGAAAACACAAAATGCAATGCGTAATTAAAAATGCAGGTGCAAAAATCAATCCAGAACATTCCTTCATATTAACACAGTAGACGGTGCATTGTTTTTTACTTTCTTAGAGTGCAGCATACTAACTAACTACTAATAAACTGCTTTAAAGTATAAAACTTAAATCGTAATCGTTCAAAAATGTGTACGTTTTCGATAATTCAATGGATTTAAAAATAGTCATTTATATTTTAATATTATATTATGCATTTATATTGCTACGAACAAATCTAAATGAACATATATAAAATATATACATGTTTTTGCTGAGATTCGACACAATTTTGCGTCGTGATTACGTAATGACGTCATCACGCAATGTCATCACAACATCCTTCAGCAACTTTTAGCAACAAATGAATATACATAAAACTTTTTAAAATATAAAATGTATATTGTGCTGTGCTGTTAAAATGTGCTGTGTTGTCACGGGAACATGCCAGCTGAAGATAATGAGGAAATTACGTCGCTCCCTTTGCCAACTGCATTCCAAACGACTGTCGCCTTGTCCAAATACCCACGCTTGCGGTCTTGGACACTTGAGAGCGCGTGCCTGCGACAGGAAGTAAGTGCGCAAGACTGTCCCAGGTCTTAAAAATACCAAAGCGCAGTACACTTAATGCACACTAAACCCACACTATCTCGAATACCGCTCCGGAGCGCTATTCGAGGCTTAGTGTATCCCATCATGCATCATGTTCTGGAAATAAATCGTAGATCTCACGAGAGGTCACGGAAACCTTTCCAATGTAAGTTAAATATGAATAATAATAAGATATTACATATAATTTGGCAGTAAAACAAAGTGCTACACATTTTATTGCTGCAAAGATGAGTATATTTATTTTTGTACAACATTTGCAACTGCTTTTTATCACTTAATTAAATTGTGTCATCTATAGCGACTACTGAACAGACATTTAGAAGCTGATTTTAAAATGCAAAGTATTGAAAATAATAATAAAACTGTAAACAATTAGCGTTTTTACAACACTATAAGTGTGTCCCATCAGGTAATGAAAAGTTGTACACACACTAGTGGTCTTCATGCTCACTTGAACACTTATAATACAGGAAATACGTCATAGAAGTAGTCAAGTGGTCAAGTGCAAAGACCACAAGTATGTGTATTTGGACAAGGCATATATAATGGCACGCACGTGCCCTGCTCACTCCAAGAGGATAGGGATGATCACTTCCATTTGGAAATATCCCCGTGAACCGTTCGGTACCGATACTCGTATCGGCACATTCCTACTAAAGTGTGATCATTGATCTTTGGGAATCCATGTTTCATGAGTTCATTAATCATTTCAGATGGCATGTAGAAAAATTATTTCACAATAACAAAACAAGCAAAAAAAAGTTCACAGTGATCTTTGTCTTCATGCATCCAGCACTTGGGTGTCATATCATACTTTATATTTCTCTTTCGCACTGTCACTTAATATACAGATATGCTGAAAGATATAAAGAAAAAGAGAAGGTGTAAATAAATAATTCAGATCAGACAAACAAATAATATACAAAACTGGCACAACTTGCACTCAATATACACCAAGTTATGCAGAGCACACAATTCAATCAGAACAGAACAGGACAAAACACTTACACTCAAATCCCTGAAATATTCATTGTAGTCTAAAGCATATCCCACCAGGAACTTATCAGGGACTTCAAATCCAATATCTAAAAACAAAGAATACAAGGCATTTAAACATGCACACGGAAGAGAAAAATATAATTATATTTTGCAGAAAGGAAGCTCTTCTGCATTGTTTTCATTATAATTAAACACATTCCAAATAATGTGAATAAAAATAATTATTATATAATATTAATTATAATCAGGTAATTCATATAATGCAGGTAACATCTCTAATAAGTCTTCCGCCAGCATAAACTAATTCAGTTGAAAGTCATGCAAGAAATGCAAGTAATTTTACCCCAAAATTTGAATGGCATATATATATATATATATATATATATGTATATAAGGTGTGTGGCTTTCCTAATCAAGTCCAATCAGTATAATCAAACACAGCTGGCCTCAAATGAAGGTGTAGAACCATCTCAAGGATGATCAGAAGAAATGGACAGCACCTGAGTTAAATATATGAGTGTCACAGCAAAGGGTCTGAATACGTAGGACCATGTGATATTTCAGTTTTTCTTTTTTAATAAATCTGCAAAAATGTCAACAATTCTGTGTTTTTCTGTCAATATGGGGTGCTGTGTGTACATTAATGAGGAAAAAAAAATTAACTTAAATGATTTTAGCAAATGGCTGCAATATAACAAAGAGTGAAAAATTTAAGGGGGTCTGAATACTTTCCGTACCCACTGTATATATATATATATACCAAACATATATATATATGTGTGTGTTTGTTTTTGCATGAAGAAAGTCCAAAACTGTTTGCATTATTCATGATAATTAAGCATATTCCAAAAAATATGATTAAAAATAAATAATAAATAATATAATACATTATTCGATGTTATAATTATGTAATATTATTTTCATGACAATTACACACATTCCAAAAAGTATTTTGAAAATAAAATGATATAATAATAACCAGCTAATTGGAAATATCAGGGAACATTTCCAATCAGTTGTTCACAGCATGAACTAATTCAGTTGAATCTCAAAGAAATGTGGGGGGGTAGTTATATTTTGCATAACGAAAGCCCAGAATTTTTCCATTATTTTCATGACAATTAAGCACATCCTTTTTTTTCATATAACTAATTACATAATATATTATTCAATATATTGACTAGAAAAAACTAGAAAAAATATAATTATACAATAATAGAATTAAGATGTTATGATGTGATGTTTCATCCTGTTCAAAAGCAGGTTCATCTCATTGTGACATTTTTGGTGAATTTAATTAATATTTTGTTGGTGGTTGGTTGCATTATTTATTTGCATTCGAGCAGAGCTCGTGGTCCCCCTGTAGAGGACATTACTGGGCCGCCCTCGGTAGTGTTTCACTGCTAAACAGCTAAATGATTCTCCATCCTCTTGATAACTGACTCGAAGCACTTCGGCGCTCGGCTTTAGAGTGCAAGTTAAGAGCACATTTGTGCTTGGAGGATAGACGGACGGATGGATATAAAGAGCTTATCAGCTTTCTGTCTAAAAGCATTGCATAACTACTCTGAACACAGAGAGATGGATAATACATACAACTACATAAATGCAGGGTTTTTGATTTCTCTAAGTGATGCGGATTAAGCACAAACTGTTCTTAATATCCAATCAAATTCAAAGATGAACAACATGAAGGAACTCACAGTCTGGACGATATCCTGAGCTCCTGGGTGTCCTTTTCACAAGTAAACTGAAATTACATGACATTAAATATTGTGAGATATATATATTTGTATGTATGTATGTATCAAGAGCTCCTGTAAAACCACAACAAATTCCTTGTGTTTGCGCACACTTAAGTGGTGAATAAAGCTCATTCTGATACTGATTCTAATAAGAAAGCACCCCACAATAGCTTCTGAAAGTGAACGGTATATGTGTTTTACTCGAGCATTACATAAAAATGCCATTTTAACATTAGTGTAATCATTTTAGCATGAGTTTAGGAACTGAATAATAAAAAGGAAAAATAAAACACTGCTTAGAATTTACTCTTTGAATTCAATATGCACTGATTCGTATTTAAGCTACTTATTTTCTCTTTGTCTTTTGTTCATGGCCCCAAATATTGCAAACCGTAGCGATATGCATTTTGCGATATGTACATTTGCGATATTTCGATAATTTCGATATATTGCACAGCCCTAATATATATACTGTATATATATATATATATATATATATATATATACACACTAAAAGAAGGCCATTTAACCATACATGTTCACAGAAATATCTCTAAATGTTAAATGTGCTTATTACACAGCTGTTTAAAAACTATTCTTCCCGAAGATGTTCATGCCTTACCTGACAACCTTCACCATTTTAGGATGACATTCATTTAATAGTTTGAGCAGTGTTTCCATAGTTCTGCCTGTTTCTACAATGTCCTGTAGGTACAAAAAGAGATTTCATTTGCTTACAACATCTGTATTTTCATTGCACAGTACACTACATACATTTAACACAAGCTGGTGTGAACACACATCTGACATGAAAGTATACTGACTCAAAAATGAACCTCACCTCAACTATGAGCACATTCTGGAGGAAAAAGAGAGAAGAGAAACATTACATTAGACACCTCCGAGGTATATACACACTACTGTTCAAAAGTTTGGGGTCAGTACAGATTTTTTTCCTCTCTCTCTCTCTCTAAATCAGGGGTGGCGAACTCCGGTCCTGGAGAGCCGCAGCCCTGCAGAGTACAGCTCCAACCCTAATTAAAACTTACCTGCCTGTAGCTTTCTAGTAACCCTTCAGACCTTGATTAGTGTGTTCAGGTGTGTTTGATTAGGGTTGAAGCAAAACTCTGCAGGGCTGCGGCTCTCCAGGACTGACGTTCGCCACCCCTGCTCTAAATAAATACTTTCATTCAGCAAGGATGCAATCAAAAATGACAGTGAAGACGTTTATAATTTCACAACTAAATTCTATTTCAAATAAATGCTGTTCTTTTGAACTTTCATCAAAGAATCCTGAAAAATAATTAATCATGGCTTGCACAAAATATGAAGCATGTGTTTTATGTGTGTTTTCAACGTTGATAATAATCAGAAATGTTTCTTGAGCAGCATATCAGAATGATTTCTGAAGGATCATGTGACACTGAAGACTGAAGAGTAACGATGCTGGAAATTCAGCTTTGATCACAGACATAAATCACATTTTACAATATATTCACATAGAAAACGGTTATTTTAAATTGTAATATCAAGTAAATGCAGCCTTGGTGAGCATAGGAGACTTCTTTCAAAACCATTCATTCTTACAGACCTTAAACTTTTAAATAGAGTCAAACTAGAAAACCGAACAAAAGCAGATGCAAAGCTCAAATCAAAACTCACTTTGCCAGTAAGGGCAGATAATTCATCTCCACCAATAACCTTTACACAGTTTGTAGACTGGTCATTCTGAGGAGGAATCAGAGCAGAACAAAAGAGAAAATAAACACCTTCAATTAATGTCATGGGTTCAAAACCACCTATCAACAGCCTCTCTGAGCACTGTGTCAATGGCCAGCTTGTATTTCTGTTAAAGCACCTATATGAATTCTTTGGTACAAAACTGTATTATTTGAGTCTTGAAGTCATCTCAATAATCATGAAGTGGAACTACTTTTCTAGGTGGATGAACTTTTAGTTATACTATGGATACATCGTGAATATACTATGAATATATTAAAATTCTGGCCAATATCAATAAACCAACAATTATTTTCATTATGTTAATTAAACGATAAACACTGATAAATGCTAATAAAATTCTACAGTATTTTGTCAAAAAATAAAACAGTAAAAATGTAGGCATAAAATTATAAAATAACCGATAATCATTTTATGTCATTATATTAGGCCTATTACTGTTTTTAAAGTCGACATGAAATGTAAATTCAATCGATCAATCTTCTAAATGCTAGTTATTGAACTTCTACGTGCTTCTTTGATCAACTGCAAGCTTGCATTCAAATCCATTTTCGAGGAAAGTGCATTCATATATTTTTTCATCTTTTCTTTTTCAATAGTGCGTTTCAGTCGGATATACAGTACATTACAATACGGAAGAAAAGATCTGTCACTACATCCATTTCATCGCAACTTTAAAGATAACATTAGATGAAGTAAAGGTAGTCAATTACATTTTTAATTACCTCATTTAAATAAAAAAAATTATCTATACAATGAAAATTGCTGATAACTGAATGGTTTATAACTCAATTTATTATTTTTTCCAAATAACTGAAATTTAACTGAAGCAGTTCTGCACAAGAAAAAAAAAACTCATACAGGTTTGAATGACATGACAGTAGGCCATTACCCTTCAAATTGCCCAAATTGAAATTGCGAATTGAAAATACGCCTAATGGAAATGCGTCAATTTCGCAAAAAACGCCCATATATCACAAAAATGCTTTTACGCTCGCACGAGGTGGTTGGTTCTTCAGGCAATGCGAAAAAGGAAAAACTAGCAATGGAAACGGTTTTTTTTTTTCGCATTTACAGGTCACATGGCGTATGTAAAAAGTCACATGATTATTCTTCAATGTACTATAACCTCCAAGAAACACTTCATACATGGCCGCGCTCCAGTATAAGGGGCTTTCCCTACCATCATTAATGCTTAGACAGTTTACACTGCACACGTCTGCGGCACAGTGTGGCTCGGATACAAACACTGAAGCTGATTGTGGCTTGTGTTTATTCCATAGACTGTATAAAAACATGGACGTAGTGTCTGTGACGTCACCATCATTAATGCTTAGACAGTTTACACTGCACACGTCTGCGGCACAGTGTGGCTCGGATACAAACACTGAAGCTGATTGTGGCTTGTGTTTATTCCATAGACTGTATAAAAACATGGACGTAGTGTCTGTGACGTCACCCGTAGATTTCCGAAGAGTGTTTTTGAAGCTCAAAAGTGGGCGGAGCCGGCCGTCGCCATCTTGGCAGCTCGTCACCGCGCGTCACTCCCGGATAATCGAAAATGGGCGAAGAGACGGGAGCAGGTTGGTGAAGCCACGCCCACCTAGCTCGGCGGTGGTGACAGCAGTGGCAATCCACCTGTCACTCAAGTGGCCAAGCCCTTAATTATGCAGAACTTTAAGGCTTAATATAATTTAAACGGATGACTTATAAAAAAAAATTCACCCCCTCACAGCAAAATTAGCTATATAGACCAAAATCATTTTTTGAACCAGGCTGTAAACATGTTTTTTTCTGCTGTAAAGTTGGGCATTTTAACATGGGGAGTCTATGGGATTGACTCCCTTTTGCAGCCAGCCTCTAGCGAATTACAGTTTAAGTCACTTCCGTGTTGGCTTCACGAGAGAGAGCGGGAGGTTGCCGCTTGGTTTATTCCAGCCGTGCCACACACGTTTCTGAAGCGGCTCTCTGTGCTGCTTCTATAAAGATACACGCATATGCCTCCTTTGAATAAATATAGCCAAAATCCGTTGCAATGACTTATCGCGAGAGGCAAAAGGTTACGTTTTAGTCGCATAACACTGGTTAACGGAAACGCCGTCATTTCGCAATACTTTTTTATCGACATTTATAAAATATCGCCAAAGTTTTGCGCAAATCTGTAATAGTAACGTGCCTACTGGGTAAATATTGACAGTATTGTCATTTACAGGTGAACTGCCCTTACCCTTGTCATTCCTGTAAGGAACAAGTCAAAGGCACAGCTAATAAAATGCTCCATTGTTATATACAGTAATAATCTGAAAGCAGACATCTAGATCTGGAATGATTTATCGGTCAGTGTTGAGTATGAATGTGTAAGGCTCAGGGAATGGAGAGCAGTAAAGCTGGCACTCACCGAGTAGCTCTTTAGCCTGATGAAATCCACAGTCAGTGGCACAGACTTATCGCTGTTTCGATTCAGCGTCTTGATGTAATCCATCAGGTCGGCAAAGAACTTGTACCCTCCTTTCAGAACGCAAAGGGCCACGATATGATGCCCGCCCATGTCCCGAACGATATCTCTGGCCAACCTTTCAGTCCTGCAGAGAAAATCAGAATTGAAAGGCAGAGTGTTTAGACATTAATGCTTTCATTAAAACTGGCTGAAGCCGTGCCAAAAATGTCAGTCAAGAGGTTCTTAGGGAAATTTGTTAAACAAATAAACGGGAAAGCCAAATTCAACTGACATGCCTCTCGTACTGCACTAACATCATTAACTAAACAGGGGGAACACAGGGCTCTTTTACTATCGAGGGCATTTCACGGCCACGGCAATAACACAACTGTATCGCTTCACAAAAGAACACTTCCCAATCTCACCGTAACAACCAAATACAATCCTGTATTAAAGACAGAAAAGCAATGATACTGTTTGTGCATTACAGATTAAAGTCGTGCTCATCAGTTAAACGCACCTGTCCTTAATGAGGCCATTGGGTATAATGACACTGTCCAAATGCTCCTCGTAGTGTTTCGGTACACAGAAAAGACTCAGTTCGTGCCCTTTGCTGTCATCAGCTATCTAAAAAAAAAACATTAAAAAAAGCTATTAGAACATCTTTAAAGAAACACTGAGACTTACGATATTTCGAGGAACTACAGTTATTTAATCTACTCGAGTTACACATTGTAAAAATGACTTTTCGAAGTTATAAATTAAAAAAACGATTATTAGAGTATGTTTTACAAGAAAATACTATTTCAAATGTTCACGTTTACATTGCAGTTCAATGTGCTACTTGTTGTTTCTTTGTATTGAAATCAAATTAAATCCTACACATTTTTTTTTTCAATGTATTGGAGTTTATAAGCTTCCTGCACCTTAACCTTAAAAAAAAGAGTTAAGGTGCAGTCACATTTAACATTATTTTGCATTAAAATCATTAAAATTTCACACACACACATACACACAAAAAGACTCTCACATACAGACACAGACTCTCTCACACACAGATTCACACACACACACACACAGACTTGCACACATACACACACACAGACTCTTACATATAGACACACACTCACATACAGACTCACAGACACAGCCTCTTACACACAGACTCTTACATACAGACACAGACTCAAACATACACACACACACACACTCTCTCTCTCACTCCCAACCCAGACTCACACACGCAGACTCACTGCTGGATGAGGATCTTGACGAGGCCTGTGTGTCCACATGTTGCTGCAGCATGAAGTGGCGTCCAGAGCTCATTGTCCTGAGCGTTGACAGTCGCTCCATGACCCAACAGGATCCGCACCATATCCTCATAGTTATCAATACAACACTGAGAAAGACAGAGAGAAAGTGAGGAGAACTTCATCTAGAAGTCAAAACTTCAAGAGCTTTTAAACACTAGTGTGATGAGCACGTCACAATGCTGCTCCCTCACTTCACACTGCAACTCAAATATTTCATTAAATGTTCATTTTGTCAAGAAATTCACAGCAGCATGAGAAATTCCAAAACAAAAGCTGAAAATGTGCGTGTGTGTGTGTGTGTGTGTGCGTGCGTGCATGTGTGAGTGTGTGTGTGCGTGTGTGAGTGAGTGTGTGTGGCCGTGTTTCGCTCACCCTTGCGGTTCATTCCCATCTGAAGGCATTTCTGCAGTCTACAGTACTGACAGCGGTTGCGTTGCTTGCGGGACATCTGGCAGTTCTTGTCTCTGTTGCAGCGGTAGATGCGCTTGTTGCAAATACTGCGTTTGAAGAAGCCCTTACACCCCTCACAGGAAATGATGCCATAGTGCAGCCCGGATGCCCGGTCCCCACAGATCAGACACCAGCGCTCACCTCCGTCCTCTACAGAGAAAGAAAGAGAGATGTCATTTAAGTACACACAAATTAAAGAGTGAGGCCTCATTTTCAAAATGATCAGGGAAGTCCATAGTAATTAATATCAGCTTTGTATAAAAACAATAGAAGTCTATGGTATGTCCTCATATAGATAGCTACGTAAATGTGTATGTGTTTTGCTGAGGTTATCAGATATATAGTAAAACATGAATAATCTACTAAATAGTACCTTAATTAAAAACTAAAAATGTCATTAAAAACAGATAAATTAATACATTGATTTTATAAATATACTGATAAAAGAAAATAATCTAAAAACGTTAAAAAAAATTTTTTTTTTTAAATTTAAAATAAAAAAGTAATAAAATATATAATTTTATGTTATTTTCACATAGTACTCAAATAAAATGTAATTAAATTTCAAGAAATATTATATATATATATATATATATATATATATATATATATATATATATGACAGTACAACATATTTAATGTTGTTTTAATGCATTATTAAATTAAAATAAAATAGTTCTCTTAAAGAAAATAAAATCTAAAAATGTAAAAAAAATAATGAAATAACAATAAAATAAAGTATATAAAAGTAACAAAATACATGATTTCATGCTATTGCTAAAATACATTACTAATAAGTAATACATTACTAAAATAAAATAAAATATTATATGTATATTAAAATATATGTATATAATATAATACATTTTTCAGATAAAATAAAATTCTATTTAAGATATAAGAATCTATTAAATATAATAAAGTAATACAATTTATTATTTTGTGATTTTAATACAATCTAAAATATCAAAAATAATACATTTTGTTATTTTAATACATGACTATAATAAAAAAGGGTTGGAATTTTTTTTCTGATATACACATCAGCATCAGTCAATGGGATATAAATATATGTGCAAATATAATCTGACAAAATAATCTTTTCCGTTAATATTAAGAACAGGGAAACAAGAAAGACACACACCTTATCACAGCTATCTCTGTGACGTCTGATAGTAGGTTAATATAAGTTTACTGAGCTGTTGAAATCATTGTAATCTCACATGTATAAAGTTAAATAAAGTTCTAAAAGTTCTTATCTAAATCTCAGTGCAACAGAGAGCAGGATTACGCAAATACAGCGACCCGCGCACACCAGGAATCATCGGCAGTCTCACTGTGCGTTTGAGATGACTTACAGCATCATGCAGCGTGACCCAGATTTCACTACAAACCACAGAGACACAGAGCTGACAGGAAGGGGGATGGGAAACAGAGAAAGTGAGACAACTGAATGAAATCTATATTTAAACAATATCACAGTCGCACAGATATTCAGTAGTCAAATTTTCCAAGAATGTGTACAATTCCACGTACGGACTGTGCAATCATTATTCAAATCAATCTATGAATAGTTTTAACCGCCCAGATGAACTGATTCACAGAAATTAATCGGCTAAACTTGGCAGACATGTTGGTTTCTCAAAACTGCTGGTGAACTGTAGAGGGAGCAGGTGAGTGTCGGGGTCACGGAAAGGTCTTCTAAAAGCCTGAAACGGCCGTAAACGGTACGGAAAGCACTCAACCTAACCCTGAACTCTAGAGCCATTTTACAACCCTCAAGAAGGCCGTGGGTTGTAAGGGCACAGTATTGTGTGGATTGGGTCAAACCCAGGTCAAACTTTATAGCCAACGCCAACTATGGAACACACATTTTTAAAATTGAACAGGGTGACATACACAAACACACACATCCGCTCTCATTCACTCCATCTAATATGTCCGATGTCTAAATAAAAGCAATAATAGTTTTTTTTTATTTTTTTTTATCACCCACAGGCTAAAAAACTGGCATATTTGTCATTATGCCACAAAAAATCAGACTCAGACAGCAGGGTGAACCGAAATCATTTTAAATGCAAATAATAAAATGAAATTAACCATATAATTGTTCAAAGTTTGCATACTAAAATCAGCTTACAGTATGCAAATGTGTTTTTCTGACAATATTATGGACCAGCAGTCGGACCAGTGCAGTTTATTTTCATCTTAATTGGTTTTATGTTTGATTTTAAGGAATTCAAATCTAATCAAAAGATTTTTTTAAATAAAAAGGGTTAGAATTTATGTATTTTTTCTGATATACATATCAGCATCAGCTATTAAAAAACACAGCCAGTCAATGTGCTATAAATATATGCATATATTTAAATGGGACATAACACACACAGTTTCTGCCAATCTCATGTTAATAATATGTCACAATATTTTTTATGTATTTCTGATCAAATAAATGCAACCTTGGTGGGCATAAGAGTGCATGTGCTCATAGCACTTTTGAGGTCATGCACCAACAAAGTAGTGTATGAGTGTTTAAAATGTTTATCATTGTATAATGCATACTGTTTCACATGCAGTTTAAACAAAGTATGCACACAGTGCTTACTGCATATAGTATACAGTAATCTACTACTCTACTCTGAACAGGCCTGTGATTCTGCTGATCAGAAGGAACAGTCATTTCACAGTCAGCGTGTAATGATGATGCCGGCCCATCTAGTTCACAGCAGGAGCAACACATCCCTTGATTTCCCTACATCCCTCTGTCATTCTCACTGCACGTCTGTCTATCCCCTGTTCATGCTGTTCTAGATCTGTCAGTGTGTATTACTGCCTCCTACATTCAGAAGCAATGGAAATCACAAGCCTGCTGTGTCTCTTGCTATCTTTCTAGCTTGTTTATATCACTCAGATAGTACCAAACCACTGAAAATAGGAAGTAATGGCTTTAGAGGAAATTGACCAGAACATCATGATTTTTAACCTCAGCCATTAAGTATCTGAAGACTGAAACACCTGAAGATGATGATGTGGAGGGTTAAAAATGGACATTTCAACATTCAAGTATTGTTCGTATTGGTTTCTAGCAACTGGCTGGAACTAGCAGGTTGACTAAATAATAACCAAACCATTGAGCATGCTAAACTTATAGTGATACTAGTGATAAACTTATCCCAGCTAAAACACCACCAACACTGAATTTACTATATTTACACTTGTAAAAAGAAGTGTGCTTAATTGTATTGAATGTGCACTTGTAGTGTACTTGTAATACAATATTAACTAAATAAAAGGCCACTTAAAGTGTACTTAAGTGAAGTTAAGCGTACTTAAGCAAATAAACTTCAATGACTGTTTTAACACACTTAAGTACACTTTTAAAAAGTGCACTTTAAGTGTCAAGTTACATTTATTTTAAAACATTGTTTTAATCTTTTGTTGTGCTACACTTATTTTGATGTGCTGACTAAACTTCGCACATGAAATTAAAGCACATGTAAATTTTTGAAAATAATTGATATTACTTTTAATAACTAAATGTACTAATTAATTACTAAAATGAATTACTTGATTTTAATTTCAACTGTAGTGTCATTTGACATTATATTTAAATAATATTCATTATATTTTATATAGTTAAAAGTTTTAAAATTGCAACTTCATAATTACAAATAAATACATGACATACAAGTTTTAATAGAAATTGCATTAAAGTATATTTCCGTTTACCATAAATGATGGTCAGTATATTCGGCAGTACACTTTAACCATATTTCAAAAACAACATTTTTCAATTGTGAAATTATATTTAAGGATGTGCTCAAGTCCGTAAGTGGGTTAAAAATGTAAACTAACAGAATTTAATATAAATTTAATAAATACATATTTAATATAAAATGTATAAACTATTGTACATTTATACATACTATCATAGGCCTACATTTTAAAAATTGTAAATAGCATGTGTGTCTGTAAATATAACATTAATTAATAGTATTTTTCATTCTATACTATGGAAGTCAATGGCTACCATCAACTGTTTGTTTACCAACATTCTTCAAAATATCTTCTTTTGTGTTTAACAGAAGAAAGAGACTGATACAGGTTTTGAATGACATGAGGGTGAATAAATGATAACAGAATTTTCATTTTTGGGTTTGCACTTAAGAATATTCTTTAAGTAAATGATTTTCATAAGAAGTACTCACAAAGTATGTTGAAGTGTACTTCTTCATAAGGGTATTTACACTATAACGTTGCTGTAAATTTCATTTTCACACAGTGTAACCTCTTTCTTCTGATAGAGAGGAATGAAGGATTTAAACCTGCAGAAGAACCCGGTGTGACCTGATCCAGCATCTAGATCAGTGGTCTGTGAGCCCCAGTCCTATTTTATTGGGTTTTAGATATGCCTGGTTACTTCATATGATCCTATGTATGTGTGTTGACCTAGTTAACACATGTTGAGCGAGAGGGTCGCCATAGGCAAAGAGGATTGTGGGAAATGCACCCCTAGTGTGTCCAGAACGATTATGGGCAAACATTTCCATGCAACAAAACCTCACAAGCACACACAAAAATGTTTTGCAGGTATTAGACAGGTGTGTTTTTGCTCCCAGCATAAGGCAGAGCGTATCAAACTGCATGATTTAAGCGTACGCTAACTGCCCGATGGCGAAATGTATCCATCTACCACATCTTCTCTATTCGCTTTGATCACTTTATCTTTCATCAATTATTCCCAAGAGTCTCCTGCCTCCAACATCTCTCTCTTTCTGTTGTTCTTTTTTGTCTGTCTCTCTGTCTATGCAAATGTACCCTGCCTCAGCCAATCGGAGAGCTCCGATTCCCAGCATCAGGAATCTCAGCCCATCAGAAGCCAGCACTCAATGCACATGGCCAAATTCATAGCCGCACATAATTTGGGTCATATATAGTTCATCTCAAACACAACAAACTCACAATGAGGATGTTAGCTCTATAGTGACTCATCCAGCACTGAATGTGCATGTTTGCTTATCATGGCAGTTTCTTCATGCGAGAGAGACAGAGAAAAAAGCAGGCATTTCTTCAGTTATCATTTAACTCTTTAGACGACAAGCAGCTAATCTTGTTTATCTGATTAGTGTCAACATGAGGTAAGTGGAGGT